GTGTGGCGACAAAAATGAGGCATACATGCAAAGGTAGAACCATGTAATTTAGACGAAGCGATGGGCGTTCTCGCAGCGTTCTCGCAGCGTTCTCGCAGCGTAAAGCAAGGCTGCCGACTGGGTACCGATATCCTGGCTCGGTGTGACGTGGTAGCTGTGAGTGGGCAATCGCAGTGACATGTCGGGCTGAGATTGTGCAAGGGCCCACAGTTCATGGTGGGCGTCTGTCCTATCACGTCAGTGTGCAAGCACAAGGTAGCAGTTTGAGCAGAGGTGCACCGAGCCAATCGCCGGGCGGGCCGTATAGGTACACTGGAGCTTGGATGTTCCCCGGCGAAGATCTATTCTGGAGCAGCTGGAGTTCAGGCAAACCAAGTTGCTTGGGTGAGAGAGATGGACTGTGGAAATGACGCTAGCCTCTTGCATGGCGGCGTAGGGGTGTCATTTCCCATGTGCATGCATTTGTCCGCTGTCCTGTCGGGACTGGTGCGCGCAATTGAGGGCTGATGGGATGAGCACCCAGGACGGAGGAGACGAGCCGATCGTCTCCTGCCAACAGGGTCCGCAATCGATTGGTGGCGGTGACCGGGCTGCTGCATGAGGAAGGATGCCGGCAATCAAAGAGAGCAGGTCATGACTTCAGCCCACAATACGAGGCTGACGGGGCCCTGGTACATGGCAGATCTGAGGGGCCCTGGAGCATTGGAGTTGCCAGGGTTAGAGTATTGAAGGAAGCGGGGCGGGGCAGTATGACCGGATGAGTGCCGACCGTGGCAGCCATGGGCGTGCTTCACCAGGCCTGTACCTACGTGAGTCGACACGAAGGATTCTTCCGGGTGGACATTAGTGGTGGAACCGACACAGGCACTGGACGCCGCAATGGTCCCAGCAAGCTATTGGCGATACTGCGCCCATGATCCGATCTTGTATGATCGCCGACCGGGTCCAATAGCATCCAACATGGGCCTTGGGGATGTGCTGCAAGGGGCGGGACCTCGACCGTCTTATGCGAACAACGACAGCTGCTTCTTCTGACCATGATTGTGGCGCTTGTCGATCTAGCTTTCTGTTCGTGTGGCTCACTGCTAACTCGTGCTCCAAGCCCGAGTCGTGACCGTGCCGCCCGCGTCGCCAAGTCGCAGCACAGACTGAACACGATCCTGTCGTGGTGTAGGGCATAGATAGACAATCATGCTGCCTGCACCTGTCAATACACAAGGCTGCAATCCAGTCTGCATGGTGGGCTGGCTTTGGTATCCCCGCGGAGCGCACCAATGCAACCCCAGCAGAGGACAGTGGCGAAAATGGGCTGATGCCATTCTACAATCAATCTACACACATGCACATAGCACTACTACTACTACTACTACAACAACAACTTGATCGTCCTCACATGATTGCATCCTTGGGTAGCCTCACAACTTGGACTTGGACTCACAGCACGCAGGCTTGCAGTGTAGCTGTATCGTTCTAAGTATTACCAAAGCAAATCTAAAGTACAGTTGCTGCCCAACCACATCGTGGGCAATGCATCGCCCTTTTGGCTTCGTCGTGACGAGGTGTCGTTTGCTGCGCTAGCATCTCTCAGGCCCAAGACAGAAGAGTCTATTGTCGCCCAACATCCAGAACAGGATTTGTCTGGCGGCGTCGGACTATTCCAAATCCTTGACCATCCCTTTGCTGCATCTTGTTTTCAGGTAAGCGCGGTCCGGTGGGATCCACATGGACTCGTCACTCCGGCGCTTCACTTCGTCCACCCTCATCAACCCATGCGTCGTCGCGTCCCCTATCAAGACCTTCCAGCGCCTGCGCCGGACCATGCGTACCCAGCATTACGATGCCAGCCCAAAAGCAACCATGTTTCCAAAACATCTGTGCATCCAACACATGTCGTCAACATGAACCGTGCGTTACAATTGCGTTCGTACCCTGACTCCCCCCCCCCCGCTTTCCCCAAAAATGCACGACCCAAGAAAATAAGTGAAAAGCCAAAGAAAACTGGCAACAAAAGAAAATGCAGTAGTGTCTGACACAAAGTCAAAAAAAAAGAGAGAGAGAGAGAAACGCTACAAAAAAAACATGGCCGGACATGGCGCTATTTTGGACCAAATGAAAATGGTTGCAGACCGCCTTCTGCCCTGAACACCTCATGCCCATTGCCTTTTATAGACTTGGTGAAAAGAAAAACATTCCCATGGACTGCGCCATGACCGGTATATGTACAGGTAAAGAAAAAAGCAGGTCACATCATGTGCGTATTGTGATCAATGTTCGCGCGCTTAGTGCGAGCTCGAGGGGGTTACTGGCGGCATGCGCGCCAACGCGCTGCCGGAAACGGTCGGCGGATGCCACGCAATAGCAAGCTACCAGTACCATTGTCGTTACCAGAGCTTATTGCTATCATCGCCGGCGTGCTGTAGATGTGGGTCGTTGTGCTGAAGGGCCTGCGCCGACTTCCTCAAGGAGGTCCATGCAAGATGTCAACACTGCGCAAAAGTTAGCAACCGCCGCCGTAGTCAACAATGGCACTATACTCACTTGCTACAATCTCCTCCTCCCATACACCCATCTGGTAGTCGACTAGACCATGCTTTTCCATGCTATCACAGTTCTTGACGAGCTGCGTGCCCATCTTCTCCAGAAAGTCATAATCAATGAGCGATTTTGGGGCCTGTGGGCGCTGGCCTGTGTTGATCATTTCCTGAGTCATGGCCTTTTGCTTCTGGAGGGTCGAGAGCCAGCACGTATTGAACTCTTCCCAAAGCTGCAAGCGCTGCTGGTAGTAGGTTTCATCGTCGCGCACAAGGCCTGCTACAGTCAATTCAGCTGCTCGCTCTACTACGCACAGGTCGAGGAACTTACCCAAAGTCTCGGCAAAGTGCAAAAGCCAGTCCGACATTCTAAACAACATGGTGCCGGCCTCACTGAGCCGGCTGTCACGCACATGCTCAAATGTCTTTTTGAGCTCACTCTGATAAGTCCTGTAAAAATCGTCATAGTCGTTGCCGCTGGCAGATTGCGACTCGCTATAGTTGGCCTGCGGATAGCCCGGTTGCGAGGTTGCTTGGTTGGGGTCCGTCATGCCGGCAGCAGAGTAGGCGGGAGCAAGGGCTTCTCGTCCGACCTGTGTTTGGGATGCTGTATATGCGAGAGAGGGATACTGTGAGGGGACGCTCTGAGAGGCAATGGTAGCAGCAGGTGCGCTCGTGGGCCCGCCTTCATAGTATTGCTGTTGTGCAACGCCAAAGCCGGTGCTGAGGACCTGTATAGCCGAGTCCCTATTTTGCTGGTATTGTTCCACAGGCTCATACTGGGACGAGCCCGTGGCGGAAGCCTGCGCGCCGTACATGATGTTCTGGCCGTAGGGCGAGTATTGCTGGGGAGTACGCTGAGCCTGCTGCTGTTGGTCGGTGCCATAGTCTTGGGCACTATATGATACGTTGGAGGGCTGGACTGAGGAGCCAAACTGTGCGCTTTCACCGTAAGCGTAACCGTAACCCTGAGGACTGGCGCGAGATCCGGAAGAGGGGAGGGAGGTAGGCGGGGCAGGCGTTGTCAGAGGCGGCTGCCTGAAGCGATCGGGTGCGCTTACCACTGGATAGGAGGCCTGTGGTGGAAGGAGCGTGCCTTGCTGGCTTGCGTAACCTGAGGGAGTATGCCGTGGCCGGCGGTCATTGTCCATCCCAACCAGCCCGCCTTTCATTTGCAGACCGAAGGGCGATTCGAGAGCCCGGTACGCCGAGGGCGAGACTGGCGGCGTCGCGTAATTGGCCAGCTTGCAGGCTTGAGCAAGATTAGACGGAGATGATGGGCGCAACAAGTGGGGACGAGGCGGGGGACGAGGCGATAGGTGACGGTGACGGTGATAGTGACCGAGAGGGAGTGCGCAGGTCAGATGGAATGGAGGAGGCGCGTCGTTTGGGAAAGTGTGCGCGTGCGAATGGGCCGGAAAGAGAGAGAGGGAGAGGGAGGGTGCGGGTCAGATGTTGGTAAATGTACAACGTCCAAAATTGGTAGACCAGATTGGGGTTGAAGGACCAGATGGTTTGGATATAAACACAGCCTTGACACGTCGACTACTGGGCCAATGGAGCCCAATGATGCAGCTGAGGAGGCTCGCGCAAGAGCCTCGGCGGTAACCAGGATATCCTCGCTTTGGGGAGTGGGACGAGGATGAGGGCAAATGCAATGTTCCAGGGACCGGACCCGAAGTGGAAATGCTGGAGAAAATATGTGCGTCGAGTGGACCGACTAGAGACTTAGCTAGTAGCCGACAGCGAAATTGTCCGGTGGAGTCGAGCGTGGAGGACCCTGTCTCAAGCGGGCTGGTGGTGAGGCGAGGCTTATGCGTGAGAAGTTTGGAGGGTAGTCCTTGCAATGCGATGAGTGTTCCAACGAGTCGGACTTTGCAGCGGCCGGTCCAAGGAGATCGTCTCAAACAATTAAACGTCTGCGTTGCGGTAGCTTAACGGCCTAAACGCACACTGACGTTGTTCAGCGTGGGTAGTGTCTTGGGGGGCGCGCACTGGGCAAGAAGGAGTACATGCAGAGAGACGAACGAAGCCGTCGGTCCGAGGCCAGACTGGAAGTGCGACAGACGGACAGTTTACAGTCGAGAGGAGCACCAGGGCAGTGCGGGCAAGCAGAGACCGGACGGGCTTTATTAGAAGAGGGAGTCGAGGATCACTGGCGCCCGTGCGGGCGTGGAGCGTCACGACGACGGGCAGAGGCTTGAGGCAGGTTCACGGGAGCCCTAGAGTGGCTACCGGAAGAGGTCCTTGCGAGGGCGTAGTGGGTGGGGGGGGTGTGAGAGTAGCGGGAGTGGGAGTAGGAGTGGGAGTGTTGTTTTGGTCGGCGATGCTAGTCTCTGGCTGTAGCACGCACACACGCACACACACACACAGACAGAGAGAGTTGTCGACCTGGCTGGGGGGGGGAAGGGGGATTGGCGGGAGGGGATTGGGATGGTGCAAGATGACTAGGGCTACATTGGGAGGGCATTAGGGCCAAAAGGAAGAGTTGCCCAAGCCACGCCGGCGCAGGCTGGAGATGGGCTCTGCCAGGGTGTTGAAACTAGAGGACAAAACAATGGTGGGTGCCTGAGCAGTGGGTGTGGCTGCTGCAGGCCGGACGAGGGCGAGGGCGTGCTGACGAGTAGCAGACATGTGTGGGCGGTGGGCTGGCAGTGTCAGCGACCATGTGCTCGCGAAGTATCCGATTTCCGATCTGGTCAGGGTGGGGCTGCAAATACCCTGTCCGCCATAGTTACGGATCGCCCATGGTGGATCTGCAGGCGCCTGTGCAGCCATGCTGCAGGGCATTGTCGTGTTTCTGGCTGCGCTGCACCGCCCGACGACGTCTGCACGAGCCCAGGGCCGCCAGCAGCAGCACATGTCTTGTCGTGATGCTGTCTGGTCTGCCGCTGCTGCTCCCTCGTCGGCAACAAGGCGAGGCAGAAGACGCAGTCCCGTCGGGCGGGCCCACGGCGGCCAAATGTCGCAGGCTTGCATGTCGACCACCTCTTCCCCTTCACCAGGCTGGGCTTGGCGCGCAACAGTGACAACGCGCCGCACAGCATTTGCCCGCAGCGCGCGCCGTGGGAGCGACCGCTAACCTCCAACAGCGCTTTTCCGAGCCCCGTCGCGCTCTTGTTTCATACGTCCATAAGAGAGCATGGAGCATGGAGCATGGAGCATGGAGCATGGAGCATGCGAGCATGGGGCTCTCGCCTGCTGAAGCGCGCCTGCATGCCGCCTACTGCTGCCAAATCATCAAACAAACGTCGAACTTTGCCGGCCTCAAGCATGTCGTCATGACGGCGTGCATGGCAGCAGTAGCATGATGAGCAGGCCATGTGTGCTGGAGTGCTGGAGCGAGGGCGTGGGCGCATGAGCGTGAAGGGTGACAAAAGGTTTAGGGGCTATCTCGGACTCGACTCTCGATCCGCCTACCTCTCATCTCTGCTGCCATGCTGCAAGTTCCCGCCGAGACGCAGGGATGCGCTCGCCTGTGGTCGATCCTGTCTTGTGATGCTCCTCGTCCCAGTCCCAGTCCCAGTCCCAGTCCCAGTCGCCGGCGCCCTAGCCTCACTCGTCGATCCTGCCCTCGTCAACCACTGCGCCCAGTCGAAACATGTTCCTCCCCTCTTCCCCCTCCGCCCTCGTCCTCGTCCTCCTGCCCTCGCCATGCCCCCCTCCCTCTTGCGCTGCATGTGTACGCGCCATCCTCGCCCTCAAATCTTAACCTCCAACGCCTGGGCCTGGCCCCGAGCCTGCCTAGCGCCATTTCGGACTATGCTGCCGAGTTACCTCAGTGGCTGCTGCCGCGAACTCTCCGTCGTGTTCCCAGCCCGGCAGAGCTGCTCACACTAGCACTAATAATAAGCTGCACCGTTTATTTGGAGCTAAAAAAGCCCGCCTCGCCCTGCAAATGACACCAGAAACCCACCGCTTGTCGCGCCACACGTCTCTGCGCACGGTGTCTGGCAGGTCACGGTACATTCTCTAGTATCCTCCGTTGCCTTGCACGTGAGCCCCCCTTCAGCCGCCGCCGCCCTCCTTGTAACCAAGTACTGACAAGTAAGCCTGCGTGCGGTGTACACCATGTCTCTGCAGCTCCGGTGTCGCCTACCGAAACCAAAACGGTCCAATTGACGCCTTGCCTGGCCTCACAGGCCCTGCGAGTGCGTCATTTCGGTACGGCTGGCGATCATCAAGTGGCCCCAGCTGCCGCCTCAACCTAGGTCTACACCAGTGCTCGTCCTAACATGGCAAAGCACTACACGCCTTGAACATGCTTCGAGAACCTTTTGCTCCCTTCCAAATGCAGGACCCCCCCCCCCCCCCCCCCGATTCATGTCACCGCTACCTACCACCAAGGCAATGCGCAATTAACAGGTCTGCCATTGCCTCTGCTTACTTACATACTTGGCTACCTACATCTGTCTTCCACTAGTCCGCTCCTCTAGCGGCGGCCAAACCGCTGACCAGGAAGCCCCCGCCGCCAATGGCCATCCTATCCCCCGCCCCTTCTAGATGCCAGTCTTCGCCTCGGAATGCATGTCTTTCCATCCGCTATCAGCACCTTCCCACTCCCCATCCTCCGCGTAATGGGTACGTACTTACATACCTTCCGGACCAACCGAGACGCCCATGCGAGTGCATGCTTGGCACCGCCGTTTGACACGCTGCCTAATTGGTCGCCTTGCTGCCGAGTTCAAAACAGGCGAGTCAGCAACGTCACCATCTCGCATTCAGTTACCAAAACGCTGCACCGTTACGCTGGTTATAAATACCACCGGCAATACACTGACTGATCGTTAACAGTGCCCTGCTTATGTGCGTCGCCCTCATAGGGTGCTCTCTTTTTTTTGCCCAATCCTTCATTTTATTTTATTTTCAAAGTCGATCATTGTCTCGGGCATGCTAATGCCGACCCGACGTTTGCGCCGGCCATGTCATCAACAAAGCCGTATGCTTACAAGTAACGTAGTCAATCTATGTGACGGTGTAGTACCACCCAAGGATTATTGCTGAAAAGACGGTTGTCAAAAGACTGTCAGGGACGGGCCCACAGGCCAATAACATGCAGCCACTACCGCGTTGACAGGGTTGATCCCACATGCTTGCACAAGCTGATACTCGGTCTGTAAGTAAAACGAGGCATTAAGTTCGGGATTTACCACACGTCAAACCCCAAAGCGTTACAACCCCAACACTCAAAAGTTTACTGAGCGGGAAAGGAGGGATGGCCCGGCAGGTGTACCGTGACAAGACAAACGGCGCATTAGCCACAAAGCGCTTGCTTATGCCCTATTTCGTTACACTCCAGACATACTAGTCCGACTTGTACGCGACGCCGTTGAAGCCATTATATTCTTCTTTGAGCCCAACGTGTTGAAAAGACAGTACCGTCAATGCGCACAGTGGTAAAGGTTACACGTAATTCTTGGGCATCGCCGCTATCCATGCATTGGAAAACTGCGGTCATCACACGTGGTTGCGCTCGAGATTGATGATATATTCGACGATGCTACCAAGCCAAGCCCGCACCTAGTGACACAGAGATGGTGTGTGCAAGATATATTCTTCAACGCTTGACCCAGGTAGGCATCTTGCGTGCTTTGACATGACCCGGCTTCTTCCTCTCCACTTTCCTTGGGTCGCGTGTTATGGTGCCAGCTAGAAAAGCAATCAGCGATCATGTTTGGAAAGCATATAAGACAACAAATTGGACGTGTTCAGGGGCTTCGTTCGAGACTGTAGGGCATAACCGCAACCGTGCGCCAGGCACAGTGTCTGCATTGGCCATATCCGTACAGCCACTGGAAAAGCATGGCTGCCATGAAGACACCTGGGCATTGACCAGGAAAAGCAAGAACAACTTACCTCTTCGAAGTGCTGGTTTCAATGCGGGCTCGTGGACCAACAATGATTTTGCTACAGCCAGAGTCATTGCCTCCGCCTGGCCAGTCAGACCACCACCTTGTACTAGTGCAAATACGTTGTACTTGTCCAGGCGCTGGGTAGCCTTGAGCGCCCACACCGCGCTCTCCCGATGATGCAGCCGTCCAAAGAATTGAGAGAGGGATTTGCCATTTACCAGTACCTCACCTTCACCCTCAACAAGCCATGCAACCGCAGATGATGTCTTCCTCCGCCCGACGCCTTTGGCACGTCCAAGTTCGTCAATGACACCAGGTTTCGGCTTAATGTCACCAGGCTGCACTGGCTTTTTATATCGCTGCATAGCTTGCAGAACCTCCTCTGGCATGAGCGAGGGGTGAATGCAGTTCAACCTCCTCAGGATTTGGAGCATCCTATGATATCGCGCCGTTTTTACTGGCTCGTTGGTCATGATGCGATATTGCTCAATTGTCTTCCACGCCACCTTTGGGGCCTCTGCAGGTGATATAGTAGGGAGAGTGGCAACCTTGCGAAGGAGAGCAGATAGCGAGAGGAAGTCGTCGGTGAATGTGGGCTTCGCGCTGAAGTAGGATGGTGATGCAGGGACAACACGCAGCGTCCGTAATATATTTTTCTTCTCTCCTTCTTCGCCGCTGCCGCTGATCCCTTCAAAGTCGAATTCAGGCGCTGCCTTGAATGGCTGCCGTAGCTCATCTTCTGTAACCTCTGCGTGCCTTGCAGCTGTTGTCGAGATGCATCGCCGTATCTGAGGGTGGAGGCTCCGTTGAACTGGTCGAATCGCCCGCTGGCATTGGGGTAGTGGACGGCTTCCTAGGGCGTCGAATGCCCTCCACATACTCCGTGAAAGCTCTCTGCTTGCCATTGCGTGTCTGGCGTATACGCACGCACCGCGGTAGTCTCGTCAAAAAAAAACTGCCAGTGGTTGAACGTCGACCGAACCGCGTGCAAAAACGCCAAGACGGGCGAACTAAAATTACCGTCTGTGCACAGACACAGATTTCTGCGAGGGCCATAGCCCCGCGCTCATTTCAACCAGCCTTTTTTTTTCTTCCACATCCGCTTCTTCACACTGATTGTTTTGTTCAACCACGGTCAAGTCTGCAATCATGTCTTTCGGAAAGCTCTACAGCTACTCGGTACGTGTTTTATCAGCTGCGGCACCAGAATGCGTCGCAACAAGTGCTAACACGACTTCGACAGGGCAACCCACGCACGACCTCTCTCCTGGCCGTCGCGAAGGAGAATGGCCTCGACATTGAGTTTGTCGACACCGAGCCTGCAAAAGGTGTCTCTGCCGACTACCTGAAGATCAACAAGCTCGGCAAGGTCCCTTCCTTCGAGGGCGCTGACGGCTTTGTCCTCACCGAGTCCATCGCCATCGCTGTCTACCGTAAGTGCTACCCCGCTTGTCTGCCCCTATCTGCACAACATGATGTGGAATGTTTATCATTCAGTTATCCCTGTCTGAAAACTATTGTTGAGAACTTTACTATTCTGATTTACGCTTGCAACTATGTTTCTGTTTGACTGCTTGTTGTCTTGGTGGTGACTCAGAGCTGACGTCCCGCAGTTGCTTCGCAGAACGAGAAGACCAGCCTTCTTGGTAAGACCAAGCAGGACTACGCTACCATCCTCCGATGGATGTCCTTTGCCAACACTGAGGTCCTCCCTCCTCTCGGCGGCTGGTTCCGCCCTATCCTCGGCCGCGACCCTTACAACAAGAAGAACGTCGAGGACGCCCAGAAGGCCGCCCTCAGGGCCGTCCACGTCATCGAGGAGCACCTTCTCACACACACCTACCTTGTCGGTGAGCGTCTGACTCTTGCCGATATCTTTGCCACCAGCATCATTGCCCGTGGCTTCCAGTACTTCTTCGACAAGCAGTGGCGTGACTCCAACCCCAACGTCACCCGTTGGTACGAGACCGTCTACAACCAGGCCAGCTACTCAGCTGTTGCCCCTAAGCTCGAGTTCATCGCCGAGGCTTTGAAGAACGTTGCCCCCAAGAAGGAGGGTGGTGAGAAGAAGAAGGAGCAGTCCAAGGCCGCCCCCAAGCCCAAGGCTGAGGAGCCTGAGGAGGAGGAAGAGGAGGCCCCTAAGCCCAAGGCCAAGCACCCTCTCGAGGCTCTGCCAAGGGCCACTTTCGTCCTTGATGACTGGAAGCGCAAGTACTCCAACGAGGAGACCCGCGAGGTTGCCCTCCCCTGGTTCTGGGAGAACGCCAACTTCGAGGAGTACTCCCTGTACAAGGTCGACTACAAGTACAACGATGAGCTGACCCTCACCTTCATGACTTCCAACTTGATTGGTAAGTTTATTTGTCCACTTCATCTTTGCGCCAGTGCTAACGCTGTACAGGTGGTTTCTTCGCTCGCCTTGAGGCCAGCCGCAAGTACCTCTTCGGAGCTTGCTCTGTATACGGCCAGTCCAACGACTCCGTTGTCACAGGAGCCTTCCTTGTCCGCGGTCAAGAGGCTCTCCCCGCTTTCGATGTCGCTCCCGACTTCGAGAGCTACGAGTTCACCAAGCTCGACCCCACTAAGGAGGAAGACCGTGAGTTCGTCAACGACCAGTGGGCATGGGACAAGCCCATCACCGTCAACGGCAAGACCATGGAGTGGGCCGACGGTAAGGTTTTCAAGTAAATGCTTCGCTACATTTGTGAGGTTTTGCTTTGATTTATGATGCGGATGATTTACGAACCTGGCATGGGTATAGATGGGATGACGGATGAGGATTCATGAGATCACGCTGGGCAGCCCTTGGTAGATCAGCACTACTGCCA